TTTGGAGAACGCGCGTAGAGTATTTAGATCCATCTTGATATATCTGGTGTGCGAAGAATCACAGAGTCGTCTCGACACACCACTATATCTCATTGGACCATCTCAATAACCCATAGGTATACTCTCATTTTGCGGTGCTGTTCAACTTGGTGTGAATTCGCATGTAGTGTCAGCACACATTCTGATACATTTGAATATGTAAACAACCACAATATCGTCAGACACAGCACTTATCGTCAGACACAGCACTAAAGCCTGTCGATTCAAATGCTCCCAACACTCTATACCAACACAACACTACTCTCCGTTGAATTTAGATTGTAGTCTGATACGATATCTAAAGAATTGTCTCAACTCGACGTTGCTGATGTCTATTTGTTCTGGCTTTACAGAAGAGTTTCTCAGGAGGACCGGCCGGTTTGTCATGAACCGTTCATTTGAGCACAACGGCGAGATCAACAGAGCCAGATGTATGCCTCAGGTAACTGATAGGCTATGCATTCTGTGCGAGTGCTGCCTTACACCTGATACTAATGGCATTGCTTATATGTCATGTAGTGCAGATGTGGGCTATATCTCAGATATGTTGGTTGTACATCTGCCTGTGCAAACATGCGGGCCGGCATTATGACCTCGTGCACGTCTATGCCAGTGTAAGTACGTGTAGTGTACGATAAAGTGTCGCATCCTGTGGTTAAGGTTACATGCAATCACGAGTGTGTGCGTATTGTATGAGGAGTCATTTAGCAGAACGGCTCTGTTCATCTGTGTGCGTATCTGCTACTGAGATGCACTAGTCTTCTCGCGCCTGTCCTTAACTGTTCATTGTCACAAATCGATTTCCTTATGCATTTATCCAGAGTGAAGAACATACCCTACACCCGTGGCCCTTATCTCACAGCATGTGCTACAAGCACCATGTGTAGTATTGTAGAAATAGCACTCTCTATATTTAGATGTTAGCGAGAAGTACCACACCACGGCTGTCTACCGTAGTATTTTTTAGCTCCATCGTAATATTTTAGCTCTCCGTGCTATTTTTAGCTTTATTTTGAACTGCTTACTGTCGCGTCTATACAGAATCCAAATATAGTGGCCACGAAAGGACCCGCGCCTGAGCTGTTCCTGTATGACATTGGGGTGGAGGGTGATTCGAAACGGGAACAACCAGTCCTCAAGCTCACTGGGCACGAGAAAGAAGGTATAGCCACACACTCACACTCACACACACGAGTGCCTATATAAGCTCACAGGGCACGAGAAAGAAGGTATAGCCACACTCGCACTCACGCACACGAGTGCCTATATAAGCTCACAGGGAACGAGAAAGAAAGTATAGCCACACACTCACACTCACACACACGAGTGCCTATATAAGCTCACAGGGTACGAGAAAGAAGGTATAGCCACACACTCACACTCACGCACACGAGTGCCTATATATCGTGAAGTACTTTAAGCGCAGCACTGAGTAGGATGCTCAAAGGTGCGTAGGACACGCTATGTCTGAGGTAATGTAGCACAGATTTAGATGCGCAACACTCAGAACGCGACACGGGCGTATTACAAGGGTCAATATTCGTATACATAGGCGGGCGTGTGTGTGGTCCCATTCCAAGTGTATATGTCCGGGTATTCTTGCTCAATATGAAATTTACACAACCAACACATCAAGTATCATCCCCAAAATCTTGCTTCGTTGATACTGTATCATATAAATTGTGCGGAAAAAATCCCCACAGGCATCCTCGTATGCTCGGACTCCCACTGATCCTGTTAGCTCCAAGCTCGACATAGAGTTTACTGAAACGAACAACAAACGTATGAACTGTTGCAATCGTGACCACACACTGCTTCTATTAATTCCAGGCTATGGCCTGGCGTGGAACCCCAACAACCAGGGTGTACTACTGAGTGGGTCTGATGACGGTGTGGTGTGTGTGTGGGATGTCGAAAACAGCACATCGCTGACCGGCCCATCGCACACACAGGATGCAAGGAGGAAATTCACCGCTCACACGGATATTGTGGAGGTGTGTGATTTTAGAGTTTTCGCCTGCTTGCTCTTTGCTTGTGCGTGGTGTGATGCCATGTGCATGTATGTGAATATTGTGTGTAGCTTGAGTGAGCTACATGACAGAGCCGTCAGCACTCCACTACCCTGTTGGCGATGTATGGGTTGCGGGTGTGTACCATCTGGGTACTACAAGACACAGTCATTCACACTCATGTGCTCCTATCGACGATACACACCTTGCCTCTCTGCTGAGCCTAGCCACACTACACGTCTGTTGTAGCACTAGTAAGCCTTCCGCAGTGCTGCAGTCCTCCACTGCACGTGCACGCTCTTGAGCTGGGGTACTCAGCGTTGCACAGTTCAGCAGCATTGTCTAGATATACAACAATGCGGTGATACACACTACCGCGCAGATCAAACAAAATCGCTTGGATTCTCAACACCGCCGAGATGAACTACATTACACACTTCGTTTGTAGGATGCATTACGTGGCACCTGTCGGTGCATTTCTGTATCGTCCCCCTCCTCCCGCCTAACCCTTCCCATGGGGCATATATTGTATATTCCGATAAAATGTGCATCATTGAAATGTCTGTTTTATTTTTAGGCTTAAATAACTTCACCCAATATCTGCAGGACGTGGCATGGCATTGTACAAGCCGCAACGTTTTCGGATCCGTCTCGGACGACAAAACTCTGATGCTGTAAGTTTATGTGTAGTTAATGAGTTTATGTGTATTTCATGTTGGTATATGTATAAATGCATGTATATATATATATATATATATATATATATATATATATA